TCCGAACGGGCTTCGGCTTATATTTAAAAAAAAATCAGATTCGGGCTGGGACAGGCATAATATTTTTTTAAAAATTCGGGCCTGGTGGTGCTCAGTCAGGCCTGATAAATTTTTTTATCTAAATTTATCAATTTTATGTGATTTTGTTTCTAGAAGGAACAAAGGTTTGGACATCTATTAGCGAAATCATGAGGCTTAGCAAATATTTTTCCGGCTAAAATATTGAGTTTTTTATAAATCGGCTCAAAACGAGCCGTTTAACAACACTATATTTATAATAAATCAGGCCAAGCTGGTAAATTTTTTATTAAATAATTTCGGGTTCGTGCCAGGTCGGCCAAATTTTATTAAAAAAAATTAGGGCTAGGCCGGGTTTCAAAAATAAGGCCGGATGCAGATCACTAAACTATATTCTAATTCCTGATGATATTAAATGTTAATTTAGACAAAACTCATTCACAAGTTTAATCATACACAAGTATTCATTTAAAAAAATTTTATATTTATTTTAAAAAAAATAAATAACATAAAAAAATAATATACCACCCGAGACGAGATTGGCAGCATCCGGAAATTTTAAATCATTAATTTTATTTGTTTGAATTGAAATAAAGTTATATTTTTTATATTTTTTTATTTATTATAATATAATAATATTAAATTTTTTACAATTATTATTTAATATTATTATAAAATAAAATCCATGCTTTTTTAGTTTATGTAAAAAAAAGTAAATAAATTCATTTATTTTTTAAAAAAAGTAGGAGATATGGATTATTTATCATTTGACGATTCCTCACTTACAGGGATAGAGGTAAGGTCAATTATATAATATGTGCTTATTTTTTAGTTTTTCTTTAAAAGTAGTTAGAGTTACATAATTTTGTTAAAATTTGTAATCTTAAACGAGATACATAGTCTTTGGTTAATTAAAATAATTTTGACTTCATTAAGAGAAGTATATTTGAATCTGCATATTATTTATTAAATCATAGCAATTCAATTTAATTTAGGTTTATGGCAATATGCTAATTGGCTCAGCAGTGAATTTAATTTTTTGTTAAATTTTGCGCTAGATTAAAAGTTTAATTTTTCCTTGTTCAATGGTTTCTTTATTTTAATGATGTCTCATTTTCTATTTAATTCCTAATAATATAATTAATTTTTATTATTTTTGGTTAATTTGTAAAACTAATTTGTTCAGAAAAGTCCGACCCAATATATAAATATTTTTTCCGCCCAGCCCGATTTTATATAAATTGAAAATTTTTTTATTGGAAAAAATTTATTAAATGAAAAATATTAGTGCTTTGTTTCTTGAAATATTTTTAAAATATATATCTTAATTTAACACAACTTAATGATAATAAGCCAAGCTCGGCCCATTTTTTTAAAAATATATCCTATCCGGAATGAGTTTTTTAATTTATTTCGAAAAGTCCGACCCGAAATATAAATAATCTTTCCGCCCAGCCAGATTTTATATAAATTGAAAATTTTTTTATTGGAAAAAATTTATTAAATGAAAAATATTAGTGCTTTGTTTCTTGAAATATTTTTATATAGATCTTAATTTGAAAATGACAAATATCCCGCCAATGCATACCTTTAAGATATATTCCTTATAGTAATTTATTTAAATAGTAAAAAAACTTGAAATTTATATTTATATCTATTTTTTTAATATATAGACGCAGCCTATGTCCAGTCCAATCATGGAAATTCAAGAAGAAGGATATAAAACTTCTAGATCAGAGAACAGCGTCATTATCAAAAATAATTTTAAAGATACTCCTAAGAAGTCAAGACGTAAATGTAAATTTTGTGATAAGTTCTACCTGTCTACTACAGCTTCCAGTAATTTAAATAACCACCTAAAAAGATGTCATCCCAATATATTACAAAATGTTAGTCTACAATTGAGTGATTCTAGTTCTACATCATTAATTGGAGTTAGAAAACTTTCAGCTAATGAAAATCTTAATCTAAATAAATTAATTTTAAAGTATCACATTGATCAAAATGTACCTATTAATGGATTCGATAGTGAATCATTTAAAGATATATTTAAATATATCAATAAATATTCAAAGATTTGGTGTCGACAGACCGCATCCAAATATTTATCGAACATATATACAATAGCTAAAAATGAAATGATTTCTAAGCTTAATAATGTTAACAGCCAAATTTCTATAACCACAGATATGTGGACTGGAATAAATTCCACTTCATATATGGCTCTTACGATCCATTATATAGATAATGAATGGATATCCAAAAATTATTTACTAGATTTTATCGAGGTACCTCACCCCCACACGGGTGAGGATATTTGCTCAGTTATAATTGAATCTCTTAAAAAATTTCAAATTCCTAAAAAAATATCATCAATAACCCATGATAATGCCTCAAATATTTTATCAGCATCTGAATATATCAAAAAATATTATTTAAAAAATTATAACAAAGATTTTTACATCAATCGATGCTTAGCACATACTATAAATATAATAGTCAAAGAAGGATTAGATTCATATTCTTCCCTCCTCCAAAATATAGATATTTTAGTTAAAAAATTGCACAGAAGTCCCAAACTCATGCAGGAGTACATGAGGATTAGTGGTGGCACAAAAATCCCAAATGATGTGGCCACCAGATGGAACAGTAGATATTTAATGATTAAATCAATCAATAAGGTATTAATATTAAATATTTTACTTTTTAATAATTTTTAATATTTATAGAATATAGATGCTGTCATAGAGTTTGGCACAAAATTCTTGGAAGATTTTCATTTAAATAATGAAGAATGTAAATTTTTAAAAGAATTAGAAAGTTTTTTATTTCCATTTTACAAGATTACTTGTGAAGTAAGTTCGGAAACCTATACTACTGTAGGTTTATCATTATTGTATATTAATACAATAATGACATCACTTGAGCGAACCATCGCATCTAATGCAAGTGATGGGATAAAAGAGGCTGCTGTAAAAATGAAGAATAAATGTAAAATTTATTCAGATTATATGAATACATTTGAAAATTATGTATGCTCTTTCCTTGACCCAAGGATTAAAAAAAAATATATACCAACTTACATCAATAAAATTGAGTATTTTGATAAATTTAAAATTTTATATAACAAATATCTGCCCGGCACATACAATGTTTATGAATATAACGACGAAGAAAATCCAGCGAATTTGATGTCGGTATCCATATTTAACGACCTCAGAAAGTAAATATAGCAATTTATTATATTTAATCATATATTTTTATAATTCGTTTTAAGGCAAGCTTATGATTATCCAGAGCCGTCAAAAGAAGAAATTGACGATTATATTGGAGAACCGGTTTTCACTTTTCTATAATAAACTTTCACTGAAATATTAATTTAACATGTTTACAAAACATATTTTTACCCATTTACTTTAAAAAAACTTAAAAAAGTTTAAAAATAACGATTATGACAATTGTCACCTTTCTATGGTACATCTTCACTGAAATTTTATTTTAACATCTTTATAATATATATTTTTACCTATTTACTTTAAAAAAACTCAAAAAAGTTCAAAAATAACGATTATGACAATTGTCACTTTTCTATGGTACATCTTCACTGAAATTTTAATTTATCTTATTTACAATATATATTTTTACCTATTTACTTTAAAAAAATTCAAAAAAGTTCAAAAATAACGATTATGACAACAATTGTCACTTTTATAAGTTACATCTTCATTGAATTTATAATTTAACCTCTTTACAATATAAATATGTCAAAAAGTTTCAAAAATGTATAAAAAACGAATATGACAATTGTCACATTAAAATATTTTCCTTTAAAAATACATATAAAATAACATAAAAAAGTTTAATATAAATATTTTTAAAAATTATTTAACCACCTCTTTAAATATACAAAAAAATAGATAGTTTTACAAAGATGATTAAAAAAAAACATAAAAGATTTCACCTCAAAGATTGTTTATTTATAAGAAAATTCTCCAAAATATTGCTCAAATGAAAATTTAAAATTCTTATTATTTTTGAACTTCATAAAAATTTTTTGCTTAAAAATTTGGGCGCGTGAAAATCACTAATAAATTGTAACAAAAAAAAATAATATTACAATACAACAATAGCAGCATATTGTTTATTAAAAATACATCAAATCAATAAACTATTTTCATAATATATAAATTAGTTTAAAAAAAATAAATATATATTATATTGTTTTTTAACATTAAATAAATAAATTTTGGCTTAAAATAAGACTCGAGCCAACTCTTGAGCCGGCTTGAGCCAACTCCTAAGCCGGCTTGAGCCAACTCCTGAGCCGGCTTGAGCCAACTCCTAAGCCGGCTTGAGCCAACTCCTGAGCCGGCTTGAGCCAACTCCTGAGCCGGCTTGAGCCAACTTCTGAGCCGGCTTGAGCCTAAGCCAATTTTTCGGCTCCGGCCTCGAGGTCGGAGCCGTAAAAACTCGGCTTTTTAACAACACTAGGTATTACACAACCAAACAATTAACAATACTAATATAAGTAATCGAGTTTCATAAAATTTAAGATAACCTGTTGAGTTCACGACTCAAGTTTATGACTAGTTCACGACTCAAGTTCATAACTCGAGTTCATGACTCAAGATCAAAACTCAAGTTCATGACTCAAGATCAAAACTCAAGTTCATCAAGATAAAAACTCAAGTTCATGACTCAAGATCAAAACTCAAGTTCGAACTTGAGTCGCGACTAGAGTTAACGACTCAAGTTCGGAACTCGAGTCGCGACTAGAGTTCACGACTCAAGTTCGGAACTCGAGTCGTAAAAATGAGTCGACTAATCGACTAAAAACTCGATTTGAGTCGTAGTTAAGCCGACTCGGATGAGTCGTTTAACAACACTACCTCCATGTACTCCTTCATAACTCCATTCAGATCACCAGCCAGGATAATCCCCTCTTCATTTGCCAGTCTCGATGTCACCCCCAATAGACTGTCCTAAAATATATCTTTCTCTTCTTCACTTCTTCCAACCTGAGGAACATATGCAGAGATAATATTATATAGCTTTCTACCAAAAATCATCTTGATAACCATTATCTGGTTGTATAGCCTTCTCACTTCGACTACTTTGTCTACCGCAACCATTACCCCAACTCCAGCCTTACCATCATTACCTCCTTGCCAAAAGAATTTATACTTTTCGCTTGTCTTGCCAATCATTCTGGTCCCATTTCCTTTCCATCTAGTCTCCTGTATGCAGCACACATCTATATGCTTTCTGTGCAATACATCGACGACTTCTCCCGCTCTTCCCGTCATACTCCTAACATTCCATGTCACGACCCTACCTCGATCACCCGTAAACCGGTTTCTCCACTTTTTATCGGGTCATTTATGGCCGTCATAAGTTTCATTTTCATGAATAGTGGTTCCACCAGGTTTCCCATCCTTCTTTTTGTCGTAGGCGGTTGAGGAGGCCCACGGGGTACTTTGGGCTGTACCCCGCCCATGCTTTGTTTTAACCATAGGGAAATTTTATAGCAAGGTTTTTACAATCGGAAGCCCTTCCTAACATCTACCTCTTTAAGTGGTTTTTACACCCCGTAGAGGAGACGGTGATCCTATTCTAGACCCAGATCACAGGGAACCTTTTAGACCTCTATTAGCCGCCAAAAGACGTTGCCACTCCCCCGCCACGATGAGGCTGAAGGTAGGATTTTTGGAGTGTCCTTTTTTTAGATAACATTGATATTATATCCCCTGTGGATCCACTTGAGTTATGGAGAATTTATCCAACTGTCAAAACTATGGCGCCTCCTGCAACAAGTGTCCCATCTGAGTCTACCTTCAGTACTGCAGAGGATATAGAGTCCACATTAGAGCTTATTGCCAGAAAATTTTGAGGCTCTCATATTTATTTAATAGATTCTAATTTAATATTTTAAATATTAGAATTCATACTAACATAAAATGGATATATTATTAAACTTTAAATTATATTCTTAATTGTATAAAATATATTGATTTTTTAATTACATTTGATTCAAAGCGTGGTGGTGAAAAATCAGTATAAATATCAGATCGGTGAAAAATATGTGGATCGGCACAGCCCTAACATAAAAAATAATAATAATTTTGGTCTACGAAAAAATTGCATCAAAAGAAATGCTTAAAAAAGGAACATGAATCACGAGGTTTAATAACACAATAATTTAGTTTTATTTTTTAAATAAATCTGCAAAAACAAGTATTTTGAAAGAATATCAGTTATGAGATTTTGATGAGTTGTTTTTTTCGTTTTAAATATGTAATTTATTATTTGATAAAAAAATTTGTTCTTATTGGTTATCGAGACACGATTTTTTAGATCATAGCTGACTAAAATATAAACCCATTTATCCATGAAAACAATTATTTGAAAATAATACTGCTGACGAGCTCTTGCAGTGGTGAAGACGATATACATCTACTTATCATATATACCTGCATTCCAGAAATATATTTAATTATTAATTTTTCTATATCAAACATTTTAAATTTAATAGAAAATTTGGGCAAGTTTCGTTTTTTCGAGGTTTCAAAAATTTTGAAGGCTTTAAAACAATTTTTTTTAAAAGAGATTTTAGATTTAAATAAAAAATATTCATTAAATTCATGAGGAAAAAATATGTTTGACAAATTTGTAAATTCTAAATATCAGTATTTTCTTAATTCATTTTAAAAAATCGATAAAGATAACACAAATAAATGCATAATTAAATATAAATATATATACAAAATTTATAAATAAATTAAAATTATAAGAGCAAGCTATGAGCTTTTATAGTCAAAACAATAGATTCTTTATTATAAAATTGTTTCCTATATATAGTCTTTTATAATTATGTCATTTAACTACTACTAATAAGCAATTACATTAACCTCCATAAGATAATATAAAATGTAAAAAATATATAATTCAAATAGCGTAACCTTTTAAAATATATATAAACATTCAAATATAACATATCTTCTTTCCCACCAAGTTAAGATCGTCTATCAATCTTTTTATTAACAAGTTCAACTATTAATCTTTTTGTTGGCTTTCGTTCCCTTGTTGGATAACGCGATTGCCTTCCTTTTTGACTTGGTTCAATTGGTATTATTGATTTGGTTTCGTCTGATTCTTCCCTTATTCGTAGTTGATCTGCGTGTTTTCGTACTATTTTATCTTTTTCTTCTACGTTATACGAGAATTTTGCTTGTTGATTTATTATTTTTCCTTCATGCCATCCTTTTTCAAGTGGATTTTTTATCCAAACTAATTCGTTTTCTCCAAAATCTCTATGTATGTCTTTGTTTAACTGATCGTGTTTTACTACAGAGGTTTCTAATTTTTCAGAAATTGATGGTTTCACCCAGTCTAATAAAGTATTTAGTCTTCACTCCATAAATAGTTTGGCAGGTATTCGGCCCGTTGAGGAATGTTCGGAATTTTTATATCTAACTAATACTTCATTAAGGCATTTTTCCCCATCATTTGATTGTTCTCTATTAACAAAATACCGATTTTTTATAGTTTGTATGCATCTTTCAACTAATCCGTTACTTCTCGGATGGTATGGTGTAGTTTTTATGTGTTGTATATTCTTATTTTTGCACCATTTGTAAAATTCATTTGAAATGAATTGTGGACCAGTCTGTGACAATTTGACGTGGAACACCATATCGTGTAAGCCATTTTTCTAATTTATTTATTAAATTTTTACTTGTGGTATCTTTGATTCTATCGATCTCTATCCATTTTGAATATGCATCGATTCCTATCAGTCAATAAAATCCGTCTAGTGGTCCGGCAAAATCTAAATGTACCCTTTCCCAGGGTTGTGCTGGCGGATTCCATGGGTATACGGCAACTTCTGGTATATCTCTGCGATGTTTTTGACACCCAATACAGCGGTTGACTAATTTTTCGACATCTTTATCTAATTTTTCCCACCATATATAATGTCTCGTAATGGATTTCATCGATGTAATACCGGGATAACCTTTATGTATATCTGTAAAACTCGTTTTTGTAGTGAATATGGAATTATTAAGCGACCATTCCAAAATAGGATACCGTCATCATTTTCTATTTCATCTATTCTTGTTCTAAAAGCTTGTAATTCTGGTGCTTGATTTTGTATATTTGTACCATTTAATAATATTTTTACTCTTCTTAAAATTGGATCTTTAGCAGTTTCATCTCTAAGTTCTTTTCTTGATAGAGTTAACGTGTCATAAGTAAGATTTCGTATATATTTCACTGTTTTATTTTCACTTGTTATTTTATTATCATTTTTAATCATATGCTGATAATTTATAAGCCCAACGTAACAATCTTTGGTTTGTTAAAGCGTTTAAATCTCTGTTATCCCCATATATTTTTATTAAAGGTTTATGGTCCGTTCGTATTTTAATTTTCGTCCATACAAATAGTTATGAAATTTTTCTATGCCGTTTACTATGGCTTTGGCTTCTTTGTCGATTGTTGAATAATTCTTTTCAGCATCTTGTAAAGTTCTCAAGGTGAGCTATTGGGTATTCGTTACCATTATCATATTTTTGCAAGAGTACAGCTCCAAATCCTTGGTTTGATGCATCTGTTTCTAGTATTAAGATCCGGTTTATAAAATTGTATAGTATTGTGTTCTGTTATTATTCCTTTTGCTTTTTCAAATAATGCATCATCTTTTTTAGTCCAATTCCATTTAACATTTTTACTAGTTTTATTATGTAATTCGGCTATGATTCCATGTAAGTTTGGTATGAACCGTGTATAATAGTTTAATATACCTAAAAATGATTTTATGTCATATCTATCTTTTGGCGTTGAATATTTTTGTATTGCCATTATTTTATTTTTATCCGGGTGTATTCCATTTTGATCTATTATGTATCCTAAATATGATACTTTTTCTTTCATAAAATTTATTTTGCTTGTTTTGACTTTTAATCCCGCATTTTGTAATTTTTTAAGGACTTGTTTTATATTCTCGATATGTCCAGTATCATCTTTTCCTGTGATTATAACATCATTTAAATAAACTGCTGTATCTTTACAATCAGCCAGTAAATCGTCCATATATAGTTGAAATATTATTGGTGCTGTAGCTATACTAAAAGGTAATCGTAAATAGCGGTAGTATCCATTTGGTGCTACCATTGTTAATACTTGCGATTCATCGTCAATGCTCATTTGTAGGTATGCATCTTTGAGATCTAATGTTGTATATTTATTTCCATTCGCTATTTTTACTATTAATTCTTCAAACGTTGGTAGAATGTGATAGTCTTTTAGTAGAAATTTATTTAATGTTACTATAAATCTCCACATAATCGTAGTTCGCCTGAAGTTTTACGCACCACTACCATTGGAGTACTCCAGGTTACTCTTGTTGTTGATGGATCTATTTTCTTCCAAACGTTTCAGTTCATTTTCAATATCTACTTTTAAAGTTAACGGTACTCTTCTAGCTGGCAGTGCAATTGATTTTGTATTTTCTTCCAATTGTAATTTTACTGGTTCGACATTTTTTATTAATCCTAATTTATTATCAAACACCGTAGCAAATTCTTTATATAGTTTGTCAATATTTACGTTACCATTATCATTGTATTTATATCTATTATTGATCATATTGATTTTTACATTTTTTGGTAACGCTAAGTCAAATCGATAATCCATGGAAATCCAAATAGAGCTGCATCATTTGTTTGTGTGACTAATAATGGAAGCCATTTTATGTTATTATTCAATTATACTTTTACATCAGCTTCACCCATAATTTTTATTCTATTATTTCCATATATAGTTGGTGCTTTAGCCCTTCTAAGTTTTGGCTTTCCGATTTTATTCCATATTATTTCATTAATAATGGTTACTGCCGAGCCAGTATCATATTCCATTTTAATTTTTTGGTTGTTTATTAATACCTCAATTGTTGGATGTTGCCCATATTTGTATATTTTTCTTATTGAGACATCCGAATCGTCTTCTTTTGGTTTCCTACATTTGCTGCACAATTTTCCGTAGGCGGGACAATTTCTAATAGCATGAAACCGATTACAGAAATAGCATGGTTTTCTCCAATTACTATTATTATTTGTATGGTAGTTATTATACCCGGGCACTAGTTGTCTTTTTACATATGCGTTATTATCATTTTGATAGTGCCGTTTATCATTATTATTATACTTACACTGCCGATTATTTTTATCATGTTGATTTATCTGTTTATCATTATCATGTTTATTCGGCTCTTTGATTTTATATACCATTTTAGCAGTATTATTTATTTCTAAGTCGGCTCGTTCCATCGCTAAAGCCAATTCTACCACTTTGTTTAAGCTTAACGGTTGGTCTTCATCTTTAGTATCTGGATATCTTAATCGTAGTTCTTTATCCAGTTGTGACATCTTTAGTCCCGCGATTAATTGATCTCGAATTCTTAGTTCTACATTGTCTTCAAATTATCATCTTCGGGCTAGCTCCTTTATATTTTTTAAATAGCTCATTACAGATTCAGTAGCCCCGCGACTTAATCTAATGAAATCAATTCTTGATGCCAAAATAGTTCTTTCATCTTTTGCTATTTTATATATGTCAATCCATCCTACCTCCTCTATATTCCTAGGATAAGTAATTTTTTGATATCAGTTATAATGTTTATTCCTCCATAAGCTATAAATAATTTTTTTAAAGTGGCGTCAGTTTGAGGAATATTTTTCACATTTAGTATATATTTGATATAATCAACGTAGTCCTCGATAGAACAATCCTCCTTTTTAAAGTCCTGGAGAATAATTTTATCCATAATTTCTAAATAATTTTTTTTATAAACAGAAATTTTTTTTTATAATTCTATATATTATTAAACTTGACCGAAGACCGCACGACTTAGATTTTTTTTTATTTCGTCGCCATTTTTTATAGTCAACAATAGATTCTTTATTATAAAATTGTTTCCTATATATAGTCTTTTATAATTAATCATTTAACTACTACTAATATGCAATTACATTGACCTCCATAAGATAATATAAAAAATATATAATTCAAATAGCGTAACCTTTTAAAATATATATAAACATTCAAATATAACATGAGCAAAACAGATTGAATTCCCCTTGAGAATTTTAATTTTAAAACGCTTCAAATGGTAAAATTCGATAGATTGAGCTGGGGGAGTCATAATATAGTTTAAGGTATTAGCCATGGGAAAAGATAGTTAGAGGTAGCTCAGACTACATACTCTAGTTAAGGTTGAAAGAGAAAATATTAACGAAAGAATCTCGTTGGAGGTCAGCCCTGCCCGAAATCCGGGTAAAAAATATTATACAACTACCATATATACTTAGTTAAGAAAAAATAGTTTTAAAACTTTTTAAACTCAAATTATTTTATTTTTTATACTTTATATTCTAAGCCTGAATTTATAACTATCATTATATAGAATTCATTTCCCAAGAAGCTGTAAAAAATAAATTAACTCAATTATATAATATTTCAATATGGTCATACAAGTACATCATAATATAAGCGCTCATAAAATTATATATTCAATTTATGATTATTTTTCTTTCTTAGATCCGGAATGAGAATGTCTTTTATGATGATGATGATGCTTATGCTTGTGATGTTTGTGTTTATGTTTGCGATTTGGAGTTCTTGACCTGAATTAAAGTAAATAAATACATCTTTGATAATCTATAGCAAGAAAGAAAAAAAAACAATAATAAAGAAACTAATAATTTTTTTTACAAATAGTAGAGAAAAAACATTTTTGAAGACACCATAATCAAAATTTAAGCAATACAAATAGAAAGAGGTAAAACGGAAACAGTATTATAACCCGAAATATAAAACTTGGTTATGTTATTTTTCATGAAATTATAAAAGTTCCTCAAGGCTAAGTAGGGTTATCTCCGTTTTAAAAAATTTTAAGGCATATTGTAATTTGAAACAAAATTAATTTAATCAGGAGAAAAAATAACCTTTCATCTCTTCTCTTAGACCTGTCAAGATCCCTCAAAACTTTCCTTTCTTCGGCACCACCTTTGAGTTCTTCAAGTTTTTCACGAATTTTTATAAATCCTAGGTGTAGTTTACCACCGAAATGATCGGCTAATCGACGTTCGTTATCGTGAATTCCCAAATAGGCTGAACAAATTTCGCAAACACGTAGTTTTTGCTGTTGATAGCTTGAAGCTGGCATTGAATTACGAAATTCCACCTGTGAAATTTTTGATGATTATTATTATAAAGAATCCTGGGGAAAAACTAGAAAATAATAAATATCAATTTAACTCTATATACCAACTAAGTTCACATTAAATGCCTAAAAATGCAATTTGTTGGCCTTAATCGGTTATTAATTCATAGGTTCAAGCATATCCACATTCACAAAAATTGTAATTTAAATATTTATTTAACTTTGCCCCCCCCCCCCACTCTCATATTGAATAGCCTTACCTTAGGCCCAGCCTTAGTCCCTACCAATGACATTAAATTAACTAGTTTGATGATTTAATTGATTTTGATTTACCATATAAATTTTTTATAAATAAATAAAAATTTTTGATAAAGTTTTGTCATTGACACAAAATTAGTTTAGTTAAAATAATAGTTATTGATATTTCTTGTTCAAAAATTTTCAAAACTATATTTAATATTAAAATAAATTCTTTGATTTATTTTACTTTTTATTAATATAAAACATGTTTTCTAAATACTTCTGCGTCCGATTTGGTTTTCCGTAATGCTTCTACTTCCTCCAATAATTTCATGCTGGCATCAACATCGCCCTTAACACCTAATTCTTCAGCTTGAGCCAACTTTTTGCCTATCTGTTCACCCATTTCATGAACTTTGTTGGCCTTAAAATTACAAAATATAATATATTTATCAGTATAACTAGCTTATCCCTTGAGAACATTCGTTATTAAGATTAACGCTAGTTCGTGGAGTGAACATGACCCAAATTTATTTCATCATATTTATATTATATTAACATAAGTTAGTCAACATAAATTATATTTGCATAATAAGAATTTTTACCTAAAAAATCGAAGGTAATATTTTGCATACATGGGTTAGGTATAAACCCAACAAATGTTTTCAAGGGTTGAACTCATTTTTTATGAAAAGATTTTTTTTTAAAAACCCAATTAAAATACTCTGTTGGAAATAGTATGCGCATTATCTGACAGGCTAAAATAAACTTTAATTTTAAATAAATATATTTTCATTTTTATATTTATGAGACTTTATCAAACGAATAGAATAATTTACTATTCGTATTCGTTTGAATAATAAATTCTACTATGTATTCGATTCGAATAATCCGGATTATTTGAATAATTGAAATGAATTTCCGTAATAAAATAAATCATACTCAAATATATTGACAAATATTTTTATTGCAAATTTAATTTCCTACAAAAAAATCATTATAATAATCTGATGATAAAAAAATATGTAATCAGATTATAAACAATTAAAATGTATGTTATTAATTTAATTTATAATTCTACGCCAATTTTTAGGGAAAAGAGTTTTTCTTATATTTTCTTCCTTATATGACATGCGATTTTTTGACAACAAATTAGTTCCAACTAAAATTTCACAAGCAGTTGATATTCCTTATATAGATAGGTAATCTCTTGCCATTTTCGAGAGTATTGGGATCCGATATGCATGTGCCTTCCACCACATTAACAGGTCAGTATCACTCTTTGCTAACTTATAAAAAAATCTATTTCACACAGTTGAATAGCATTTTGTTTAAAAATAATGTAGTCTGTTTTGTCGAATTTCATCCTTATTTGTTAGACAGCTATAATTATCAGCTTATACCTATTTATTTAAAAAAGGGTAAATTAAATAACTGTTATAAATCTCTTTAAATTTGTCTGTTTTGGATATATCCATAGGCGTAGCCAAGATTTTCCTAAGGGGGGAGGGAATTAAAAAATTACTGGAGGCTTCGCACCAGACCCAATTTTAGGCGGGCCTTCGGCCGGGTTACCTTAGTCTATATATAGTCATAAAATATTTTTAAGATAGGAGGTTAATTTTAATAAAAAATAAGGCTGGAACAAATATGAAATATATTTTTATTAGTTTATATAAAATATAATAAATTACTTGTATATTTATTAAAAGCATGGTAATAATTTATTCCAAACAAGTATAAGAAATTTATTTATAAAAAGTAAATAGGCATATAGTTGATATTCCTCTATTATATAGAATTAGTTACAAAATACTAGGTAAAATTCCACTTTTACAGACATACAGTTAGAGAATATATTACAGTTAATATTTTAACAAATTTTACTAATAAATGCTCTTGATAATAAAAATAGCAACAATTTGCATTCAATTATTTAACGCCATCTATTTATTTTAAATAAAAAATAATCATCATATTATTGATTTCGCAATGTCTTTAAAAGATATTTTCTGATGTCCTTATCAATATTTTATAATTTTCTGTAAAATATATAATTCGCTATATTGTAAATCTACGACATATAATATTCCACTGTTTGTATTGTGCTTTCATTTTTTATTTAATTTTATCAATAGTTTTATAATTATATTTTACTTTAATTAAGATAAATAAATTAGAATTACTCACTTTATAAAAAATTATATTTGATATATTATATTATTTAGTAATTTTATGGATCTATTATTAATAATTATAATACATTTCACTTTTGTCTTAAGACTTATCTTATAGTGCGCACAAATTGAGCTTTTCAACGCTCCGTTTTAAAAGCAAATAATGCATTTTAAATAATGTTGTGCAAATTGGATTTTTTTACGGCAAGCGTTAAAAAAAAAGCAAACTAGTTTGATTTTTTTATGCGTTTTTATTTCGCGCCAATATATATTTTTAATTTTATTTAGTGATTTTATATAATTATACATATTGTAATATATTAAAAATATTTAATAAACTTTTTTAAATTTTAAAATGGAAACAAATGCGAAATTGTAAGTTAATTATTTTACATTTATATAATTATTATATGTTATTTAGAGTGTGGGACGACATAGTGACAAAAAAATTCTGTGCCTTATTAGAGAGTCAAGAAATGATCTGGAATCAGCAGCATCCAGACCATAAAAATTCTACATTAGTGCTAAATGGTTTATCATCCATTAGCCAAAGGTATAAATATATATATAAAATTATATTTTTAATAGCATGGAAGTTGAATTTCCTCAGCATGATACAACTATGTCATGCATAAAGAAGAAGATGAAGAACTTCAAGGATTTTTATTAAAAATATTTATATTTTTGTAATATTATTGTAAATATATATATTTATATATAAAATAAAGTAGTATTCAATATTAATAGTGTCCATTTTTCAAAAAAATATATAAATGAGCTAACTATCATTTGGCATTTTTATTAAAATATATAGTTTTTTAATAAGATAGGATATCAAATTATGAAAGAATGTGATTGAATTAACATTTATGAAAATCTAATAAATAAAAATATCAGGGATATCATGGTTGGGAGAATTGTAAATTTAAGATTAGTAAGTATATATATTATAAATTTTGAAACAATAATTAGAGATCAAAATTTAATGCCTTTCTAGGAATATATGCCAATGTTTATCACAAGCCCTTTGCAATTTTTTTTAACCATAGTTTAGGCAATATTATCTAGAAATTAATGTAAAAAGAATAATAGTGTATGATTTTTTAAGATATTGACTATTTATATAGAAAATATTTACTATGTTTTATTGAGCTAATTTTTTGACATCACCTTATGTGATTATAATAGAAAAATTATTATTCAAAATTTATTAAGCATTTTTATTAATATATGTAGATTATAAATAAAAATATATTAAGATAAAATAAATATATAAATAATAATATAAAATCATTTATGAATTTAAAAAATTTTTGAATGAATTTCTGATATTCCTTGCTTCATTAGATGATGCATTATTGTCCCTAATAGACATAGGTCTTACATTCAAGTTCGTGATATCTGTAAATATATTTTTTAAAATAACAAAATATAGATTTATCCATTTATATTAAATATTTTTTAAATACCTATCTGATCAACATCATCAGGTAAGCCCTCCAAGGATATGATAATGTTTGTAAAATACATATAGAATGTAGGAGAAAGTCGTTCTCCTCATCCTTGTATAATTGAAAAATTGGGATGGAGTAAGATCTGCTTTTATAGTAATATACTCTGAAAATAAATTTCTCTCCATAAATATTTTTGAGGTCTTCCTTCTTGTCTTCGTAGATTTCCTTCTCTTTAGTAAATATAAAGCAATTAGTTGCTTATCTTGTAAACTAAAAAATTCCATATTGTTTAATAAAAATGTTTTCAATTTTAAAATAAAGAAAAAACGTACTGCTTTCAATTTAAACACAGATGAGTTACGTTAAAAACGTACTGCAAACGCAAACGTTCAATTTGTGCGCACTATTAGGCTTATATTCCATTTCTTAAAAAACATTTTTGGTTCACTTTTTTATATATAAATGTTTTTTTTGCAAAAATGTATAAATTATGATGAATAGTTTTATAAAAAAATATCAACTTTTACATTCTTTCTTTCAAATTATTGTTTAAGATATATGCATACATTTTTGGGGGTCAGGGAGTGGGGGGAGGACTATGGGGGATATTTTTTATTAGCTTAAAATGATATTCGCAAAGTGATAAATTTCTGAAGGGGGGGGGGAATTTCCCCTTGCCCCCCCCCTTGGCTACGTCTATGGATATATCAATATATAATCAGCAGATATTGATTTACAATATTCTACTTTAAGACTGGGATCTGATATTGTGGTTATTATTGCATCATCAACAATTATATTATAATAGCCAAGCAATTTATCATATGCTGCTTAAACCATTTTTAGAGGATTTATGGAAATAAGGTTTTCCATTTTCAGGTGTTCAAGAATTAGGATATAAGATATAACCAAACTATAAATAAGATAATTCTCTTCACATACCATATTTGTAGTTTTAAATAAAGGCAATGGGATACCTTTAATTTTTATAATATCCTCCCATTCCTCCTATATTTAAAAATTTTAGCTTACCTCTGATATTTGTTTTTTCGAAAAATTTTGATATTAGTTTTGGTTAATTTTGTTATAGCAGGCGTTAACAATAAGCCTCTTTCAATTATTTGGTAAGTTTTATTCCACCTTATTTCACAATCTAATTTTAATTTTAAAAAAATTTAGTGGAGGTAAATTTAACTTTTTGGGAAAAATACGAATCATACTAATAATGTTTCTCAAGCTCCATAATTTTTAAAATTTCTTTGAATATTAAATTAATTATATGGGAAAGCATTGGATATGCGCTAATTTTATTAAATTTAAAAAAATATTTTAATAAAGATTTTATTATTAGTTGCATTGTCCAAAGTTATACCAAATTAAAAATTTTAATTATTTTAACAGGCTTTAAATATATTTTCACCTGAATATGCTTAATTTATAGGAGCAACATCCAAAATTATGTTATTTACATCAATAAAATGGGCTGTTAGCCCTAAAAAACGAATCTGTGTTGAGCTAGTCCAAATATCAGATGAAAAATTAATCTGACTTTTATTTTTGTATATTATTTTCTTTACCAACTGTTATTTTTCTGCAAATGTATCATACATATGCAATTTTTGAGTATTGAAGCATATTGATTTTACAGATCAAAATCACTTATAAAATCTTTTGTATTAACAGTTTTAAAAGGTAGATTGCTATTTAAAAATAATTAGCAAGTTATCTTTGAAATTAATTTTTTTTAGATAAAGAAATTGGTTATGTAGGCTTTAAAAATGTCGATTTTATTA